GCCCTCCAATCCAACCAAGCTCGGTCCTGCTCAACATATCTCGGCGAGCACTCTGCGATCCAATCGCAAAGGTGCACCCTAGGTTTGGATGTCAGTGAAGCATTCCAGCATTCCAGCTCACTAGTCTTTATATACCAGCCGTATATATATATATATTATGTTATTACTATATATATATATATATTGTGCACAGTCAGGGCCCCCAGCAATATGAAGACTTGTTAGCCAAGAAACAAAAGCGGAGATGCCCCAAGGGCCAAAAGGGCTGCTGTTTGCAGATGGGAAAGGCGCAAGCTGCGGCAAGGAAGCTGCGGCATTTAAACTGATAGTGCCCCAGCACTGTGCCAAAAATGCTGCATTGATGCAGTCGTAACAAACAAGCAAAACCCAGTCAGTGTTGGGTGGAAAGGGTCCTTGAGATCATCAACAAAAACGTAAATGACTGAACCACCAAGACAGGTAAGGAATCACACAGTTCCCATGGATCCCTGGCCATAGGCTTCAATGCCCTGATTGGGTTGAGAGGCTTATGGCACCTGAATCGCGGAACTGCCGCTTGAGGTTCTCATCCTGCCGCAGCTGCACACATTCTTCAGGAGGCGTCCGACCTGCGTTTGGGGGGGCAAAGAAAGCTGGTGGTCCAACCCCACATGAAGTTCCAAGCCATTAGGATTGAACTTGCAACCCGTTTTGATAGTTCCAAGTCATCCGGGCTGAACTGGCCATGAATTTTGACCTACCATAGTTCCTGGGCCCCACCATGGATGAACCCAGCATCAGACATAATTTACAACCCTAAAGGATACTCCTGCACATGTTGCACAGCAACTTTTCTCGTCCCAAGTGCTTTCAATCTGGCACTTGTCCCAGCTGAACCCCCTGAAAGTGGAATAGGTGTACCAAGCAATCAGTTGGAACTGCACACATAGTTAGCAGCAACAAAGCAGATAAGTGAAAGGGTTCAGCGCTATGGGGCTTGTGCTCAGCTAATCGAGGTATAGCAGTGGACAGGGCCCCCCTGCATGCAGTGTTTAGCTAACACTCGCATCCCCTGCAGATCAAATTTGCCAGGAAGAATCCTCGAAGCAATGGACCAGAAGACGGCTATTTCATGGAGGACCCAACAGGGGTTGCAAACCGTGCACAAGGCAACACAATCAAATTGCAAGGAAGGCTCATCCATGGCTTGTCATGATTCAACTCCAACCTCCGATCACCATGGCCAAGCGCCACCTAGGCATACCAAGAGGTATAGAATAGATCTAGAGGTCACAAAAGAGACATTGCATTAAAGGCAACCTGACCTGCTAGATACCCACACAGCTAGCTTTGAAGCTTTTCTGCACACGAGGCACGAAGCATCCGGTGAGTCTCCCCAGGGAACCGTGCATCCTTCCAATTTGTTGGCCTCATGATCAAATCAACATGTTGAAAACAATATTGACATGCTCAAAACCTGCAGGAGTAATACGCCTATATGAACATTTAATTTCACGGCTAGTGGCTTCAATCCCACGCTGACTTGCTTCAGCGGGCCAAGAGTCCGCATCGACAGAGACCTTGGACACATAGAAGCTTCTCGAATAGAGGACAACTCCAATGCTCTTCTTCCCTGACACATCCTTCACGGTGTAGCTCCTCAGAGTTTGTAGTTGACTGTTTTGAGCCATAATATGGCCAATGTCTAGATCTTGTTGACCACAAGTTTTTAGATCACAGTTGTTACGTTGTACAATTCCAAGAGTCTTTCGGGAAAAGCCAGGCTCTGGGAACTGGAAATGCATAGCAGATTTAGGCATTTTATTCTGGAGCTCTTCCAAAGCCGCCATGGCTTTAACCATTCTCTGATCAACCTTCTTGGGGGATGGTTTTGGGGTCATTGGCCTCTTCCGTGCAGGGGTTGAGGCCGGGTTTCCTGATGGTGTTTTCTGCTTCTTCTGGGCTGGACCGGCAGTCTTGCACTCAGTCTCCTTTGTCTCTGCTTCTTGCACTTACTAGTGCTAGCCCTTGTTTCTTTTGTTGGCGATCTCTTCTTGCGCTTATTATTCTCCTTTGTTTTTTCTGGTCTTGGTGATTGCTCCTTGCAATCCTCGACATGTTTTTCGACCTTCCTTGGTCGACCTCGCCGGGGGGGGGTTCAGGGCGGCTTTCGCCTTGGCTTCTGCTTTGGCAGCTTTGGCCTCTGCCTTCTCCAACGCCTGTGCCTTCTTCTCCTATCAGCAATCTAGGTGATTGCGCATGGGGAAATTGAGCAATGGCCAAAAGCTTAAGCATATACAGTACTACATGCAATATGAACGGACTAGCCTCTTCGAGACTCTTCCGAAGATTTGCTTGTTTCGCTGCAAGTGATCCATCATGATCAGTACCAGACACTGATGCCTGTGGCTGCCCACATGAGCTGAAGTTCAAGAATTCTGGAAGTTGAGGAGGTGATTTGATCAATGGACCACGTTTGTGCTCAGGATCGACATCACCACTCTTCTTGGCCTTAGATGGGGAATTATCATTTAAAAACACATGGCCAGTTAATTCAGGCACATGGGAGAATTTGAACATGATTCAATTGTCATGGCGCCAAAGAACCTCCATCACAGCTGATCCTCCTCGCTGGTCCTCTTTGCATCCGTCAGGACTGTCATGCACCTCTTTCGTCAATGATGCCACCTTGACCAGGCCATGAGCACGGTATGGGCTTGGGGAAAAGATCAAGTGAAGATATGATCATGCATGTACATGTCAACTACTACTAGTACTCACCAACACATGTACAAATTAACCAACCTTCACTGCTTCGTTGATGTCATCCCGGAAGTCTAGAACTCGTCGCACTGACAATGATGGCTCATCACTGCGTGGTGAGCTCAAGAACTTCTTCTCCACTGAAGACACCTGGAAAGTCATTGAACTCGATTGAATTCAAATATACATGCTACAAATTCAGCAGATTCCTCTTAAAGCTGGTGCCGCAATACCACCTCTTCCAAGTCCTTTTCTTCCGACTCCTCTTGGTTTGTGTCCTATACAGTGGGTGAAAGGTTAAAGCGGCAGAGATTTGTCTGGCTTCTCTGAAAAAACATTTGAGCCTTGCAATTGGAACCCAGTGAAGAAGAACTCCCACGCTTGGTCAAGATATTTCCCTAGGATTGAAATTGCAAGAAGAGTTTTGAGAACATGTGGCCTGTGAACACGTTTATAAAGCTTTGCATTTGCCACCAAGTGACATTTTGGCAATGGAGCTTGATGACAATGTTTTTCAGAACTCTCACCTTTGGTTCCCTGGCAGAGCTTTGAGCTGCAGCTGCTCCTCATGAGTATGCATACAGATATGCTATGTTAGTTCTTTTTGCACTTCCATGCCTCGAATTGGGAGTTGCTCTGGCAATATCAACCAAATGCGTGCCCAGGCATCGCAGTCGCGTTGCTTGCGTCCGTGCCCACTCCTCAGCAGCATACGTGCGGGCCGAGGGGCAATTATTGGGACAGGTGGGACCAGTGGTCAGGATGGAGTAGTAGGTATAGCATAAGTGTCACAAATAGTGCCAACCCAGCACATGTGTGTCTTAAGCTAAGTGTCACGGATCAAACCTCGCCCACCTCTGACCCCATACACTCCACTATGCAAATTGTATGTCACACTCAGCAGTATGCAGGCTGCCTGGAAGGGAGGATAAGTTGCAAGCTGCAGCTTCAGAGTTTCCTGTTCCTAGCACTTCAATGTCCAACCCACTCTGTCATGCACACTCTCATGCCTCATGGTGCACATAGTGTGGCAATGGCGTTGTCCCTCCAACACACCAAAGGTATTCCTTGACCAAATCGTAATTGTTCACCAAGTCAGACTCAAGAACAGCTTCTCGCTTCCGTGAAGGCCAATACACCACTGGCCGATCCTGATCAAGTGTTTGCATGTGGCAGGTGGGGCTCACATGGTTAAATTTATAGTTCTCCAATCATATAGTTATAAATACCACTTTGCAAGTACAAAGTACAGCAGGGTGCATGTACATGTACTCAAGTTAAGCGTCGTCCGATTTTAGGATGTCAGACATGTCGGTCTCAGCAAAGTTGCGGATGGCATCAAAGATTGCCTGGGCTTGTTCCTGAGTGAGAATGACACCCCTGAAAATATATGGAATGGGGCATTGCTAACCCATGGCTGAAACATATTCATGATGACTCATGAAGACCAATCCTGCAACCAAAAATCAGAAACCTTGAATTTCAGGGGGTGGTGGTAGACCTTTGCCCCAGCCATCTCCTTGGTATGCATCATCCTGGTACCAGCCTCATATGCCATTTCCACCTGGTCCTGCAACGGCATGGTGGCTGATTCCATCTCGCCTTTTGAGGCTGATGTGCTCAAGCTGGAGCCAAACCACTGCACACTCCGATCGCAAAAAGAGCCACAGGGAATGGCGGTGGTAAATGCGATGATCACCAAACCCTGCTCCAAAGCTTAACAATCATTGGACCCTAGAATTTGGAAGTTCGTAATTAAACAACAATTGAGGTGGGACGTTTGTGGAGACCCTTGGCCTCCCAAGATCATCACCCATCAAGTCTCCACAGGTCACCAACACCCTCCCAATCTGTAGTGCTGGCAAGGGGATGGCCGCACCTCTCAATGAAGCAGCCCGCAGAAGCCCCATTGCCAAAAAGGCCGAGACAACGGCGATATGAAGGGACACAATGTAAACAATTGTGAGATCTATTTGATCTTTTGATGTTGCATCCATGGTGACCTGTGGGCTCCGAGCCAAACATCCGCTGAGCAGGTCTTTGGACCACCCCAGGGTCCGAACTCCTCCTGAGCAACAATTCGGGTTCAAAGACTTGCTCAGAAGGCAGTCTTCCAAACAGCTCCTGAGCCAGTGTTTGGACGTCTAGGGCATTGCTGCGCTGCTTTCAAATACATATCTCCAATACTGTCTTATTGTCATGATATTATCAATTATTTTTGTGCAGCGCCCAACTCTCAAATCCCAAAGTCTTTCGGCCTTCATCTCTTCCGGCAAGTCCAAGCGTTGCACGCTCCCATTCTCGCGGATGAGCTGAGATCGGAGCTCCTGCGACTCTTACGCGCGAAGCGCGGCAGGTGGCATCACACGGGAACACCAAGAACACCCCAAAGAGACCTCTATCTCTCGCTGAACACCTGGAACACCTGGAACCCTGCTCTGCGACTGTAACTCGTCCGATGACCGCTGTCAAAATGTGTTTCTTCTTCACCCGTGGAGTGGAGGCCAAGATCAGCCCACTCAGTAGGACGAGGAAACGACCAGGAAGTGAGTGGATGCGCTGATGAAGATCATTGAGCAATCCAGTCCACCATAAGGACTTTCTTTCTAGTCTTCTATCCGATCAAGAGATCCAGGCAATGAATTTCTCCAGTGCTATTCGATGCAGTTCGGAATACCCTTTCGAGCGCCCGGTGGGATGAGATGGGACGAGTATCCAGTTTTCCCTTGATTGTTGTGGTTTCCTGGTTCCTGCGTGACATTTAAAACACCGCCAACAATCTGGAGTAGCAACTCTTTAATTTGAAAACGATCCAACTTGACAATGGAAAGGAGAGCTGACATCAACTCAAAGGCGACACGAGCCGAAGGCGAAGCCACAGTCCTCAGTCCACAGGCCTTGAGCAATGAGATCCTTGAGAAGATGTCGATTCACCTGCACACCACGTGATCCGAACATGTGAAAACCTCCCAACTTCTCCCGTCGGCGGCGCACTCTTTGACGACCACCATGGACGAACACGTCCTCGATCGAGGGAACACCCGATCTCGGACCGCCCCAAAACTGCCCAAACTCAGGGCGTCACTCGTCTGGCTTCGTGACGCCATGTGACGCCCGTGCCTGAACGAACTCTCCGGAGAGCACCCGACGCACGTAGAGGTTCTGCCTTGGTACCCGATCCATCCACCAGGACGGCGTCCCAAGGACGGCGCCAACAGTCTGACCAGGGGATTCCCACGATTTCCCACTCCAATGACATCTGGAAAACTGCAGCAGGTCCCATGTCATTGCCTCGTCATTGGCAAAACCATTTTTTGGGAGTTGATGGACAAGAAGTGACACGAAGGTATATCAAAATTGATCATGAATCCACAGTGGGGCCTAGCAGTTTGCACTGCCAGACCATCATGGGCCTCACGGCCATAGGGCAAACGGCCGTCTCCACCGGTGAGGCCATTCCCTTTTGGGGTGTCGGTCCATGGAACAGCTATGAACAGGTCCAAGCCACGTGTAGGGCTCGAAAGACTCGTTGTTTCCCAAGATCTGTGCAGTGCTCGCCGTGGGCATGGGTGCCTGGGATCTTGATCCAGCACGTGCGTCACGACCGCCACAACACTTGATCTGGACAGTGTATGTGTCGTCAGCCAATGAACTTCGACTGCTACCACCTGAGAAGGGCATGCCAAAACTATGACTGTCTGCCTTTGAGTGGGCCATCTCAAAATTGTAGACCAACATCTCACCACGTTGCTGCCCTAGGCCTGCCAAGAAGGGGACCTCCTAGCAGAACCCCAGAGCCTTTGCTGAGGACATCCACATGCAAAAAACATCCCCTTTTTACCCACGACAACACGGATGAAACTGGTGCCTTGAACCCAGCTGGAGTCCCGGCCAGCAAGTCAAAGTGTGCAAATGTGGAAAGCCAAACACAGGTGTATGATAGCTGTTGATGACTGAAGGACGTGTGCTCTATATTGTTCTATGTTTATATGGACTTATATGGATAACAAGACTGATAACAAGATATTATAAGCCTGTTCTCCGAATTCAAGACTTGGGGATTGTCATATTAACTTGCCTAGGGATCCAGCCAAATGCAGTGCCACGCAGTAAGCCCGTAACGCACACCATCTACCCTGACGTTGTCGCACCAAGGTTTTCCAAGAGGCCACCAGCAAGGAGTTCCTGAGGCCACTCCGGGCGATGCGCCGCTTCAGCGCGGACCAATCCCAACGGCCACTCTTGGGAGTCTGGCCCCACAAGTCGAACTGCAACTGCCCTGGCCGGGTTGGGTACCAAGGAGGATTCAAACCGTGTGAAACAGTGGATTCACAACGCATGGTTTTTCTGGAAGGTCATTTCATGTTGCCGGTTCTTGCCTACAGGCCCATTCCAAAACCTTTGATTTCAACAGCTCTCACCTCCAGCGAAACCGGCACCACCGGCGCGCCTCGGCTCACAGGGCTGCCCTGATAGCTCTCGTAGCTGCCATGAAGCTCTGCCAGCTCACAGGACGCTTCACACGCTGCGAAGTAGATGGTCTCGAAGATGTCCTCTTCAACACCGGGCACAGCCCGTGCGGATGGGTCCAGTGGTTGTTCACTCATCGGCCGACGTTCATTGCATTCGGTCGAAGTGTGTAGCAAACGGAAGGATCCCCAAAGGTGTTTTCTGCGTGAGAAAAGACATGGCCCGGCGGGTTACTGGCGAACAAAACAAGTACAATTACTATATATCATATGATATAGTATGCACCTGGTGTACTCTACAGTTTATACCCTTTAGACTGAGACCCTTTCACTCATTCAAGCCTTGTGCTACAACCTGCCCCACAAGGTCATGAGCCAATGACCATCGGGCCCCAGAGCTGCATCATGCATTCATCCAAACCCTCCACTGATGTCTCGGAAACATTTGCTTCTCGCGCATTTCTGACCTCCCGACCAAAAGCAGAAAGGAGCCCAGTGGACTCTTGGGCTTCCGCAGGCTAGGCAATCAAACAACCTGCTGAAACGACCCTCATAGAAGTAAAAAGATATCACACATGCAACAAAAAAGTTCAGAACCAGCCATCAAATAGAACACCACCAACTTCCCCAGTTCCCCAACCCACAACGGGCCCCGGGAATCCTCATTCAACTCTTTGGCCGCTTCACTCTCAAAGGGCAGCTTCCTCAGTTCGGCTCTCCGAAAAAAGTGCCGTGCTCTGGTGTTGGAGGTCGAAGGGTGCGGTGCCAAAATGAAGATCTCTTCTGGAATGTGTGAAAATGGGTGGAAATGGGACCCACCTGGAAACCTAAACAACCAGAAATCAATGGTTGGAAGCCCAAATGGCAAGTGAGATCCTTTATGTAACAAGTGGCTGGTTGTTGTTTCCAGGCAAACATGCACAAAGAAAAAGAACATCCAACACACACACACACACCCTGAAAAGCTGGCCCCGATCCTGGCCAGTCGTCAAAGTCTCTTTTTGTCTTTTCGGTTCAGTCAGGCCTTGGGCCTTCTTTGACGGCACCGCGTCCGTTGTGAAGAAAAACACGAAACCCCACAAACGCCGCACCGTTCGGCTCCGTGCGGAGCGTTCGGCGAAAAGACGTGCTGAAGCCAATGAGAACTAGAGTCTAGAGTCTATGGAGTCTATGCGCTTTCTATTTTGAAGAACAATCCGCTCGTTTTTCTCCTGGTTTGGCCGCTTGAAAAGATCTATGCAGCAGTATGGCTGGGTTAGACCTAGGCGGCACTTAATGCTTTCCCTGTTGGGAAACCCAAACTCACTTGTGACTCTCTTCTGTGAACTTGTGTGAGTTGCATGCCTTATCCCAAGTTCTCCCCTTCATCTACACGGCCCCACAAACAAGCAAGTATGCCTCATGCAACAAAGCCACACTGGTAATTGAACAAGTTGAACAACTCTGTCCTCCTTGATGCAGAAGCATCGCACTTCCAACTTCCATGAGTAGCTCTTCTTGCAGTAATATGCAGTACTCCCTACTCGAAGTTTCTCACCCACAAACGCGTGTAGGCATCCTAGCTCCGCTGGCAGCCAGCCCCTGTACCGGCAACCATGGCTCATCATCAGAAACACATCCGCCAAGCCTTGCACACCCAACCCAATGGGCCGATGTCGCAAATTCGATCGTTTGGCCTCCTCGATGGGGTAATAGTTCCGGTCGATCACCTCGCAGGCCCCACATGGCCGCCCCTCGGTGTCTGTGGGGGTTTGCTGGGGAACACCAGTGAAGTTAAAGGTTGGCAATGTGGATAGGGTAGCAAAAAATATCCAGTAATATCCAGTATACATTTAGCTGAAGATGTTGAAGTACTGATCACGCAGTCTGGAAACGCTGGACGTGGGCAAATGTCTTGAGGAATGGATACAGTTTACTGCGATGAGAGGATGTCTGGACAGGCCGAAGAAGAACCATTGTTTGTTCGCAGGTCACCCCAAGTACAACAACACACCGTGCGGCATCTGCGTGTGGATCACGCCATGCGACGAGAATCTGCAAGACCTGGGGGAGTCTCAAAAAAAGCAGGCCTTTCAGCCATGGATCAACCAAGAAAACACCACCATTTCCACACAGTCTTGGGCAGGCCTACGGATCTTCCCACATCAAACGTTTCCCACCTTTCGTCCTGCAAGGTGTCCCGTAGACATCGAAGGAACCCAATCTGACAGCCTAGGACACCAAAGCTCCCGACCGAGACACCAGCTCTCTGCGCCGAGAAAAGGCGCCCCGAATCTGGCCTTGTTGAGGTTTTTCGTGGCAACTTTGGTGACCTCCAAAGCACGTTCTGGAAAGTGCGACGTGGGTACAAACATCTGGATGGACAAGGATGGACGAAGATAGAAATGTGAGGTGAACAAGAAATACCAGTTTCACCTAATTGTGTATTTCCTATGAGTTTTCGAGTTTGAAAGGTCGATGTCATCAGTCTATCCATGAACACAAACCCTGTCAACCTGACCTTATAAAGACCCTTTCAACCCCACCATGCCCCACCAAAACGCACTGGCTCGAGCTCCACACAATACGAAAGGGGCCTCGTAGAGTTTCTGGAAATCATAGGGCCGCCCGGACGCCTCCGCGAAGGCAGGCAACGCAATGGACGCCTCAGCACCGGCCGGGACGTCCTCGGTCGATGCTCACATATCTCCGTAAGTTGTCGTAAAAAGATATATATTAAAAAAAATATATATTATATGTAAGCCTCCCCCTGTACCTGCCTCTCATGGCACATGTTTTCGCCTGACTGTAGGAAACATGTGGGCTACACCTATTTCCCCACCTGTCAGGTGAGGGTTGTCAGATTTTATGTCAGCTGGCGCCCTCCTCCTCCTTCTCCTTGCTCAGGAGCTGATTGCCCGAAACCGGTTCTAGACGCAGCGAAACATAGTTGTTCAGCTATGTGGTGTACGGTATGCCTGCTAGAGAACGCAGGAAATTCATATCGCTGAAAATCACACAAACTCCATGACGTATAACTGCACCTGCCGTCCTCCTAAGATCGAGCAATGATGGGGCAACTATATGAGGAATACTTATAGAGTGGTGAGAACTGGATGAACTCAAACCTTGTTGCGAATGCATCGTGCAAGCTCTCCTCCAAGCGCCGTGGAACATACCGAATGTGCATGTTTAAGGATTTGCAGGCTCAGTACGGCGCTGGTGTGGCAAAGCAATTGCGAGATTCTAACGAAGACCTTCATAAATCGGAGACCGATGCCGGCACTCATACTGGCGTGGAGGAGGACTGGTGTCAGCTAAAACAAAGCATCACCACCAAGTTACGTACGTGATCGGTCACGCCATGTTTATAGTATAGGTGGTGATGTTTAGTCAGAGCTGACCTTTCTATGTCCATGTGTGTCTCTCAAACCTCTGAACCACTACTTGGTAGAGCTCTTTAAGGGTGTCTCCCACCGTGTAGGACTTTGAGCTCATCCGGGTGTGGGATAGCTAACATATGACGACGATTGCGAAGATGAACTTGCTCTAAACCTTAGACCGCGACTTGATCTCTGAATGAAACAGACCCTTCAAGCATTGCATCTTTTTTGGGCAGCTATATATCTATCTATACCCCAAAGCTCATTTTGGACCCTCCACCCCCCCCCCAGTTTTTTCAGAAGGCATTTGGAGCCCTATATACTATAAAGCTGACACAGGATTAAGTAATCACCCCCTATTAATCCATCCCAGCTCGACCCCCCAAGACTAAACTATTTTAAAAACTAGATTTCCACCTTGGCATCATATTAATTATTTTAATCTACCAGAAACCTCCCCCTATTAATCAATCCCAGCTGCCCCAGAAACATGTAGTTTACTATTGTATCTAAAAATTGTTTTTGTTTTCTTTTTGCTAGCATTCAATATCTTCATCTCCTCATCTTCCTGATTTTCACAACCACCTCTCAACTGCCTCATCCTGCTCACCAATCCTTTTGATGGCTTCTCCTCAGGTCTCATGCTACCAACCATCCCCCAAAACAACAAAAACTCTCTAGCAAAAGTCGTTCATTTTCACTTATACCTCTATCAAAATCTTAACTTTCTCAAGCTCACAAAAGGGTACCCCTCACACAGGCCCTACCCCACCAATAGTAGGACCACCCCCTATGAATCAATCCCAGCTGCCCCAGAAAAATATAGTTTACTATTGTATTTCTGGTTATTTTTGTTTTTTTGCTAGTATTCAATATCTTCATTTCCTCATCTTCCTGATTCTCACCACCACCCCTCAACTGCCTCATCCTGCTCACCAATCCTTTTGATGGCTTCTCATGGCACAGAATCCCATCAACCATCATCCATGATCAGGTCCAGGTCCTCATCTCATCATCCATCATCAGGTCATCATCTTTATTAAGGGGATGTGGTCCTCAAATACCTCCTATCTCAGACCTTGTTGACCTTGACGGGGGGGGCCGTTTATGAATCCTACGTCGAGATTAGCCTCTTCGAAGGTCATCAAATAAAACTAAGACCGTTTTGACATAACATAATAACCTCCACCCGAGGCAAGTTGCTACCGGTGGTGAGATTGCAAGGTTGCAGTCATCGGCTCTCGGGCTACATGTGGAGCCTGGAACCGTGAACACCCTTCCCGAGGATCAGCCGAAGCTCAAAACAAGACAAAACACTCAGCGACTAGTTGCTTCTAAGATTTCCGCGCTGAGTGCGAAGAATGCGGAGATCATGTCGTGAGATTCCAAAGTCAACGACTCAGAGAGGCTGTTTCTTGACGTCAGCATTTCTGCTTATAGATGTCAAATGAAGTTCACTTACCGTCATTGCGCACAAAAATGGGTTCACTGCCATGGCGCAGGTGAACCCCTTTGTATACCTCACCAAAACATTCCAAAACTCTGAGGACTGGGTTTGCCAATGAGTTGGCAGCCCGCAAAAGGGATATGGACAACTGCAAGGCCAAGTTGGAGACCCTGTACTTCCAACGCTTGGATGATTGGAAGGACCGACCGGACTTGCTTTCCAAGGTGAATGGCGCCATCCTTTCTTGCGATGCAGCATTGACCTGGCCATCGAAACTGAGGCCGAACACCGGCGCACCGCCACCACACAACGGTGATGTGCCTGCAGCGCGGCCAACTGAGCCTTAGAGATCTGAACTCTGAGCTGTAAGCGCAGAAGTCTCGAAGTCGGGGACCTGTGTGTGTGTTTTGTGCTTGGAGACTGGTGGCAAACTAGCTAGTGAACATAATTTGGCAAACCTCCTGTTCCAGCAAGAATGGAATTCTGCATAACAAACTGACGGCATGAGAAGGATGTGGTGCCTCCGTGCCTCCGGATTGCAGCCTGGTCTGATTGATATCATGATGGTAATATGGAACACCCTGGACCCAAGCTGGGACTCGGAGGGCCTCTAAAGAGTTTTTGCGCTTTGATGTTTGGGTGGGTATCGGGTTTGAAGCATATGAGGCACTCACAATCCATTGAACCTTTGCGTATACTATATGCGACTTTGAATTCGGTGGCCTGAAAGCCAAAGCCACAAGATTAAAAGTGATAAGGTTTAGTTGCCACTCAAGATTCTTAAGTTGGTGGTTTGGGGGATCCACTAGGCTTGACAACCCAGGTTTGCTACTCAAGATACATATGATTTGGGGGATCCACTGCAGGGCTTGACAAACAAGGTTTGCCACTCAAGGTTTTAATTTTGGGGATATACGGGGCTTGACAGCCCAAGCCGATTTGGGTGATCCATGGGGCTTGACAACCCAAGCCCGGAGCCAATGGCCTGAGATTAGCTGCAGTGTCGATACAACCTGTTCGTAGCTCTATGCGAGAAACAAGTTCCATGCATGAATGCAACCCCATTTAATCGAAAGCCTTACAATGGCCAGCAAATACAAAGTCAGAACAGCACACTGTAAAACACGTTGTTTTCATAGCAAAGGTAGGTACTGGGGGGTACATATATATATATAATTGTATATATAATTATATGTTATATACGTATATAATGACATATTATTCTCTGTTAGAAACAAGTGAATGCTCTATGTCCAGTGAGCCCAAGCCCTAAGCGCATCCCAATGAACTGTTTGACGACCCAGGATGAATACCGTCCTCATCCCATCTCATACCCATCGGGTTCGGCATGTTCCGGCTCGTGGACGGGACCGAAATCACCAGCGACACCACGGTTCGTTTCGCGTTGCATCAGGTTTGGAAGTCTATTCCCGAGTAGTCGCCTCGTTTTGCTGGGTAGAATGGAGAACAAAGGCCAGTACATACCCATATACTTTCTCGGCCAAGCTTTGGCTGTTGATCCATTGATAATAGGATCTCTGCGTCTGTCCAAGCACCCAAGCAACCACCTGCAATTCGATTCAGTATCGTATGGTATTGGAATTTGAGAGGACCAGCCGCCACAAGCCGACTAGATTAACCTGTCAAGACTAGGCTTGTTACATGGAGATGCTTCTTGAACACCATCGTCCAAGAAAGGTCCAAGAGGCTAAATTGCAAACGGCGACCTCATCTCGCGAAGTGTATTCAATGATCTCAGTGCAAAGGTTAGAACAATGGATGGTGCCCAAGTGATTCTGGTTGGACTTGCTGTTGGCGTGATCCTCCGGCACGGAAGTGTCAGTCTCGTCTCGCGTCTGCGCCCGAAAGACATGAAAATCAAACGGGCCATGACCTCGGCCCCTTGCCTTTTACTCTTGCCACTGTTGCTGGATTTTGGTGGAAGAAATCCTGAGATGTGCAAACAGTATATGGAATCTTCTACTGGATACAACTCCAGAATGGCTGTCAGGATGTTTGACCTTCTTGTATCACCAATTGCCATATATTATCATATATTATGATGAATGAACCTTTTTGGCCTAGAGCCTAGTGATCCTCCGGTAGTTGTACTGTCCACAGGCTCTAACTTCAGGCTCCAACAGTCTTCAAACTGCCAGTCCAACCCATTCATTGTAGTGTCGCCTTGGAAGCCTGAAGGAACATACAATGAGACGACACATCTGCGTCATGTGTGGGTGAACTTAAGCAAGGTATGTTGACGGATCCAGCCTTATAAAGCATGAAAGGAGTGCCCGTCTCGATCTGCGCCTGACTGGCACAATCTTCTGGATTCTCAAGTGCATTTTTATCTTTGTCTTCCAGATCATTTGACTACTAAATGTGCTTTTTGGTGGGAAGTACTGAAGCAAACATATAACACAATATCCATGATCAAAATAATTGTGAGTCGTTGTGAGTCCGGCGTCAGACGGGCCGGTTCCTGCAGCTACCAGGCTACCCATAGAGTTTGGGTATCCCATCACCAGTAGCAGTGGATGATAATGCTTGGTACAGGCATGAAAAGGTTAAAAGGCCTTTCTGAATATGTATTATATATTATATATATATGATGACATTATATGACAATCTTTACCGCTTGTTACTGGTAATGAATGGGACACACTCTTTTTGGAGATACCTAGTAGAAAGAGGAGTATTTTAGTATATTCGTCTTCCAATGTCTTCCACACCGCTTCGGCTGTCAGCACGAATCCGCTGACATGGCTTCGCCGGACCCGCCGATCTCGGACACATTCTGAACGTCCATTACCCCAAACACCATGTGAAAGTCCATTGGATCGGGAGTTTTTTAGGAAGAATTTCAAGAGCAGTAGCAATTGTATGATGCTTTTCGCCCATGTTTGTCTACTCAGTTTTGGTCTTTTACACTAGCCCGGGCCTCTACAAGCTCTCTACACAGACTGGCCTCTTTATTTCAGAGGCCCACCCAGCTCCCAGCTCGTTGGCTCCACTTGTTGTGGGGAATTCGCACCCTTCGTCGCTCCTTTTCGCTCCACCGGAACTCTCCTCCGGCCGCGCCTGCAAGATCTGCGAGAACAGGTGCCGCGCCTTCACCGTCTTCCGGCCACGCTTCTCCGCCTCAAGCCTCGCTGGGTCGGCTCGGAAAGCAAAAGCCGGGGCGAAGCAAATGAAAGCGCCATGGTTAACATAGTGTTTTTGGTTTAAACGTGGTTTTGACATGTGTTTACTATGAGAGGGGTCCTCCATGGTGAGACGAAAACCCAACATGTTTAAAGAAAGTCATGCATTTGTTCCACGAAAAGAACGAGCAAAGATGAGGAGATCTGTTTTCGGCGTTTCTGTCACACTTCCGCACAACACGCGTTTTAGAGACGGGTCTATAATATTATGTTCGACCTTCCATTAAGGTTGTGATGATTTGGCGTCAGGAAGAAATCCAACAAGCATTTGGATTCGACCCTTTTTGCTCCGGATTTCTGGGATTTCTCAGGTTCAATATGGCAGCTAGTCTGTATGTTGGAAGAAAGGTTGGAAGCTCTCTCAGAGCTAGTGGATTCAATATGGAAGCTCTATATGTTTACTAGCTAGTCTGTCATGTTGGAAGCTCTGTCATCTCGGTCTTCCAGCATGTCGATGGCTGACCTGCCTCGTGTAGAGTTCGTCGAAGGCGTCGCCCCAGAAGTCCATCAAACCCTTTCCGGTCTCCTCGAAGGAACACCAGTGTGACGCACCGTTTTACTTGGTCACAAAGCGATGCAACACTGGACATTTGAATGCTGGGTTGATCTGCATAGGTGTGGATAGTGTTTGTTTTGTTGTTCCTATGCTAATTGGGTGACTTTGGGCAATGGCTCCTTCTGCAGCAACAACTCTTGGACCCTGGTTGTGCACATGTTCACCTGGAGTGACTGAGTGAAATAACATGTTCTGGTGACCCCAACCACACGTGTGCACACTAATGAGCCCTCGGAGTTACGTGGGACGTAAAACAGATTCACAATCTCGCATGTGGGCCATGGATAGTTCTATGATAAGTTCTATGTGTCCCAGTCGTTTTCCATGTGTTGTTTCATGCTTTGTCATCCCTAATTTTCCCTTTTGCCATCTATGGTTTCCCCCCTTTGCCATGGGTTCTGTCATCGTCCAACAAAACTGCTTGCTGGTCCTGATCGAAGGCCTCATTGGGGCAAAAGAGTGTCCAATCCTCATCAGCCTTGACCTGGCCGCAAAAAAACACCATCAATACACTGCCTGGAATCATCATGGGAGTTCACCACCTTTTTTTACAAAGGAAAAAGGTCATCCAAGCGGCCATGTTCATCCATGATGATTCCAAATACCCTCAAGACTGAACAGAACCTACCTGGATCATCCACATGTCACACTCCTAGACTTCCCTACACTGGCCTCCAGTGCAAACTCATTGGATGATCCACAGGCCACATGTCACTTCTCCAGCTGCAAAAACAGCTTTCCCAGACGTCAGCGACTTGCAGCGACCGCCGTGCAATTCAACTGCCGTGCAAATGCTCAGTTCTTTCCCGGTAAAATGATGCACCAAGATCATCATTCGACGGCTTTTTGCCTTGTAACATTGAAACAAACAGGAACAGCACGGGCCTCCCACATTCTGAGCTCCAGTCCTGTGGACACCTCCCGTGTTTCCGTCCGACCGGTCCCTCGTTGATTCCTGTCCGAGAGACTCGCTTCATGAACAGATCGGGCACCCACAAACCTCGGCAAGCTGCGGCACGAGAGACTCGCTAGTGACTAGTGAGATTGAGACAGAGCGGCTGAACCCTGCGGGTGTTTCTTGATTGTATACGTATCATTTTGGGAGTACTTTTCATGTGGCTAAAAATTGGTTTCCGCCAGGGAAGCTACAATGTAGCTTTGTGCCATCCTGAGTGCTGAGCTATCAAACTTCAACAACATGCAAAAGGGCAAACGTCAGAGATTTGTCATTGTTTACCTGGTCAATTCTTACATACTACACGTTTTAGACCCAATGCCCGCACACTTCGTTCGGAAAGAGAAGCACGGCGGATGCTGATGACAAGGCAAGTTGAGAGTCCAACAACGAAAATAAACACCCACCAAGGCACCATAAAACAAATCTCTTGCTCGCTGCTCTTCCTTGCCGTGGTTCTTGCGCAGCTCCAAGAACTCATAGACGTCCGCGTGCCAAGGTTCCAAGTAGACTGCTACAGCACCCTTCCGCTTGCCACCACCCTGACGATTGGCACAAAAACCGCATGCTTGGCACATCGAAATGAAGAGAAAATACAAAAGGAGCACTCAAGAACGTCTAAAGACCGTCTAACATTTGCCTTGGTGGTGCGAAACAAATAATCCCGCCAACCCAACCTCATGGGCTTTCTCAAAGAAGGAACCCACGGTGCGACGCGAAGTACCCACGGTCAAAGTTGGTGTCTCTGTGTGTCTCTTACGCAAGTCACTAAATTTCATTAATTGGATGACCTTGACGCGTCATCAATGACCAGCCCCCCATAGTTGAAAGATGTGGACCAGGCTCTTCGTCTTCGCTTGACCCCAACTCCATGTGGTGCCAATGCTCAAGGATTTGGCAAAACGTTCTAAATCGACCATATGGATCTCCCCAAGAATGACAAGAATGATCGAATTCCCATGAATTTGACATGCTTGCAGGAACATGCTCCACGTTCGCCCACGAGCCCGCGGCCTGGTCCACATAGCGTGCCGTCTCGTTAAAGTTCCGGAGCATGGGTACCAGGCCGTTGCTGGTGCCGTTGGTGCCCCTGATGTAGGAGCCACTGGCGCGAATGTTGGAGACCTCGTTACCCACGGACGGTCCGACGGGCCGACGGACAGCGAGGTCCCGCCTCTCTCGACTGGGCCCATCGATCGGCACCGTTTTTGGGGCGACGAAAAAGTGCGAAGCGACATGCTGATCCTTTCGAAGACTACGAGATGCAGATGCAAACACCTACGAACAGTGGGTCGTTTGAACAGCTTGACAAAACAAAACTCAAAGGAGCCTGAGGAGACATTCCCAACTATATACATACAACCACAGTTCATGGAAAAACCAACCAGCAACAAATGACCAAACGTCCATATGGATTCCCAAACTCGCATATAGGTACAGTTCCAGTACTGTTCTTCTCCATGTTTCCCAAATGGATTTCTGGTCTTTCTCCATGCGTTGCCCCGAAGATCTCAACGAGCCACTACGCGAAACCGCCGGGTCACGGCCACACCAATGCCGCCGGCAGATTTGGAGATCACAGCACATTGCTTCAGGGTGTCATAGATCCCATCGATGCTGTCTCCCTGGAGGTTTAGGAACTAGGGCCTAGGGGGGCGACTCTCACGTATTAGCTGATTGAGGTGGATCCTTGGATATCCTTGGTGCTGCATTAAGAGTACAGGCCCTGCAAGGAGGGGGTTGTAAGATTTGTAAGGAATTCCATGGATGTTGTGTTGTTTGTATTTGTTCATCATTGAAAAAAATTGTTGTGTTCGGTAGTTCCGGGCCCTGGGCAGTTCTAGAAAGAACAGCTTGGTTCAGGTCGGAGACAAACCAACACACCTGGCAAACATGATCATTATTGGGGCTAGACAGCTATAGAGATATCTTAAGCAACATGTGAAGACATCACTCAAAAGCCCTCCAAAGCAGGCTATGAACAACTTGAACATGGGCATCATGGCTGCATGTGCGTGACGGAATACTCGCGGGATCTTGGCATATATCTTGACCATTTGTTGTATAGCTGTTGGTGGTCCTTTTTCAGCAGTACAGGGATCACTCAAAAAAAAGAAACGCCCTGGTGCAACATGCCCAGATTCCAAGTTGCATGGAGATTATTCCTTGTCCAAAGCTTTTTAAGAGCCAAGTCGAAACTGTGAGGTCTCCACTTGTTCGCACCATCTTCTTCTACCCATCACGGTCGACCATTAAAGTCTTCCAGAGTCGACCGAAGGTGCGGTCTCATCGGATCAGGTGAACGGGCACCTGCATCTTCAGCAGAAAACAGGATGACATCTGCGGATAAGGCGTCCCTGCATTGAAGAGCGTCGGCGTCGCGTGAGTGAAGTACTTCCTCCGGCGGTGTGTTCAGTGGGAAGCGTTTCGCGGGAAGCGAAGCGGAGGGGTCCCAAACTGAAAATGCGACGAGGGTCCCAAACGATTGGATGAGGCAAAGGAACATGGAGTCCATGGAGAGAAACTGTTGGCTCTTTCATCCATGTTCCCGCCACAGCACGCCGCCAAACCAAAAAAAAAGTCTAATCCAAGGATGTTCATGTCATTTCAATCATTTCTAGACATTTATATGGTTCCATCCGGATTGAACATTAAACTTGCTTTCCACCATTAAACAAGTCACCCGGTCGTCTCCTGGACATCAGCTCATACGTTTCCAGTGTGGCTTTGAGATCTCCACAGTGGATCCCACATGCTGCGCGCATGATCAGGTGCTGAGGACGCTCGACAATCCGGCCACCCACACGCAGCAAGTAAGACTTCTCCAGAGTTTTGAAGCCTCAGAAGCTTCCAAGCCGAGGTTCGAAGGGACAGGTCAAACGGATGAATTTCACCGACAGCGATGCTGTTTTTTGGCATATATCATCATATATCCCCCCAGGTAAAGGAGGCAAGAAGGACATATATGGATGGACAAAAAGAGCCGTGGGAGGTTTTCCTCGTGGACTTGGTGAGCGATGGTGAAACAGTCGCAAAGCCTGGCGGAGTGGGGTAAAAATACCCAAAGGCTTCCAAGAGTTGTGGTCTATTCCTTTCGAAACACCTATGTACGGTCTACTTTTGCTCACTCCAGTGAACTGTTCCTTTCGCTCCTTCATTGTCTCTCTTCCATTCAAGGGGTGACATGAGGTCTCACATTGAAGAACTTGCGATGAACACCCCCCAAAATGACGGGTGGATCCACCACCGCCTCGAGTCTGACTATCGAACATCGACTCCGACACCGCTTCGCTGGTGGATCCCCGACCTCGCACCGAAACGGGTCGCCGACCTCGCCGAGGAGCCGAAGTAGTCGTAGCCCAAATCTCTGTCATAGTCGATGGCCTGCGGAGCAGGTCGGGGGCGCGGAGCATGTCGAATCCCGGGCTGGGCTCCTGTCCCACCTCCGAAAAGCTTCGTTCGTTGCCAGCGGATGCGGGGAAGATGGTGGGTGGGTGGTTTGGGTGGGGGGGAGAGTGCCTAGCTTCTGAGGATGTGGGACGGGAGTTTTTGGGAATGATGACCAGGCGTCCCGGACATCAGTGACATGTGACGACGACACTCCTTCGTCCTTCCTTCCACTCAGGACTGTTTCAAGCTACTAGTACCACAGTGCAGACAGAGACACACTAGTCCACAAGTGCAAACATAAGAAAAACTGCGGCACCTTGCATGGTTGTATCATGCTATATCTTGTATCTATGTGGATGAAACAAACTAAACATGCTAGTTAGTCGTCCTGTCTCTCTTGCTGGGTCTTCTCCCCAGTGATGTGGCCTCATCGAGCTCCTTGCCGTTCTCCTTCACAAAGTCCCAGATCTCCTCCGGTTTTCACGCGAGATCTCGACCAGCCGATGGGTTCGGTTGGTGCGTGCAACATGGTGCAACATGGTGCAACCCACAGAACCCGGCGAGTCCAACAGAAGAAATCGACCTCCCAAGAGAGGTTAAGTCATATAGGACCCTACTGAGGTATAGATAATCATGGATCATCTGTATCTTTAGGGTTCTTCAACCTCTGCTGGTCCTACCAAAACCCATGCCAAACGAAGACCAAAAAACCGGCCGTCCTGGGCGAGCAAGCCAGCATTACGGCCCTGCGGATCCACGTAATGGAAAAGGATCTTGCAGGTCTCGCAGAATGAGTCAGAGGTGTTCCTAAGTCGGTGAGAACTGACATGGCAGTGCAATGCATGAGACAAGTCCTGATAATGCAGCGCAATGCATGAGACAAGTCGAACGATTTTAGTCATAGGGCGAGAAAAAACAACTCAAACCGAATGGGAACCGACATGAACCGACCAAGGAGTCACTTGTCAAACCGGATAGTCACCAGGCGTAATCCACTGGGCGAAATGCAGAAGTATACCGGATTGGTAGCTTTACATGAGGGTATCATACAGGGTATCATTCAAAGATCCAACTGATGGCACCCATAAGGGTATCATATGTCATAGGATATCATACCGGAAAACTCCGTTCCCATAGGGTATCATTGTTCCAACTGATGCACCCTGGACCTCCTTGACACCACCGTAGACCGTCCACCGTCCCGGGAAAGACCAGTGTCTTGTGAAGGTTGGAGACCGCGATGCGCGCCGCCAGGGTGGAGAAGTCCGGATGCTTCTGAGACATGTAAGCACCTGAGACATGGTGGATCATACCAGATATGACTCATACCTACAGCACCTGTAGCTAAAGCGCCTCAGGATGGGACCATCACTGGGACTGGAAGACTTCTACACTTTCAGATTCACTGATTCTTTAGGGACTTTGGGTTCAACCAAGTACAGTAATACCTGTATAGCGTTGAGTTCGCAGTCCCAGATGTCAACGTAGCTACGTAGCCTACGTAGCTTGCGTTGGAAGGCCCAGGCACAAGTCTCTGCAGCCAGGGTGTCGATTTGCGCCGTAGTGATGCCGGTGTGGAGGCCTGGACGTCTTACACCAAACATCTCCAAATGCCAAAGGTACAAAGACAGTTCCAAAATGCGTTCATCTCCGCCCTTCAAACACCTCCACCCTTCAAACATGTTCTGGGTAAAATACCATGCCCAGACTCTTCCTTCATTGGATCTTGCATCTTCTGGAAACAGTGAATCATTCATGGGCTGCCATGGTGAAGCACGGTCCACCAATGACGAGCTCTGCTGGTCGGTCAAAACATTGGAGACAAACCTGGAAGAACTGAATGAAACCTCCTTCAAATGACCTGTTGGTTTCCTTGTCTTGGCAGTTTTGTTTTGCCTTTTGCTCTTCCTCATAAGTAGCAAGTTCTTCCTAACATGTCCCTGGCAAGCAGAGAAAAAACATATTAATATGCACATCACGCACGATGACCGTCTACGATGAGAGGTGGGCAAAAGACAAATGAACAACTAAATGAAGATCGCTTGGTGATGTTCACCTACCTCAGGTAGAGGGCTCTGACTCAGACATCAACCCTTCACAATTGTGAGCAATAGTCCAACAACCTGTCCCAATATTCAACAAATGTCCATATTATAGGATGAACCAAGTGAATTGGTTCCTGCAAAAAAAAGTCATTTTTCAAAATGCAAAAACTGAAACCTATCTGGGACCTTATCATCCTTATCCAATAATGGCCTGGCCATTCCCATCTCCAGGCCTTCTACCACCTTCTGTGTGACCAACACCGGGTCGATGTAGCGCGGGTCGAGACCCTCGCAAAGGTTTCGAAGGCGCTTGGTGATGTTGTCAAACTTCACCTCCTGAAGTGCTGGGCCTACGGCCTACTACTCTGCGGAAGTCTGACTCTTGGATGAAGACCCTGAAATGAAGATCCTTTTAAGCAGGAAAGAATAGTAGGAACGCTCGCGGGAATCTCAGCGATGTAAGCAGAGAGAGGCGGATGAAATAGTCACGACTATTAGTCACCTATTCTTGGAGTGGTTGGAGTCCAATCCTAGAATCAGGGGGTGATCTGCTGCGATTGGTGCACTGATCGAATTTCACGCGCTGAGCCCATGGAGGAAACATGTTTTCTTATCTTCAATTCGCAGGGCATCACCATCAATGCCCTTCGGCTTTGTTCCTAGTGATGCTGCAATGGTGCTGCCATGGTTTTCTGGTGTGCTTGTGGTGTCTTACCCTGACCACATGCAGGGAGGTTTAGGGGTCACAAGGCCCATCTGAGATGATACAGAACACAGGTACAAAAAAACATCACCAAGACATACCAAGACTATTTTCACTTTGTTTCGGGCTCAAATCGGCCCCATAGAACGGGATAGTAGAGCCTACTCACACATACTCACACCATTTTGTGTGCGATGTGATGGGCATGCACGTCCATGTTCACTGTTGCCTGATGAGCTTTTTGGAGGATGCCTGATGCTGTGTACGCAGGAATACGCCTTCCACAGGGCACTGCATCGTCCACAGGTCGGCACCCTCGTGCGTCGGTGCTTGCTGGAATCTCTGCTCAGGAAGGTAGGTTGGCAGGGGTGCGAGCAAATATGCGACGGCTAGCCGCGCTAGCCTGTCTGCAGATGGGTGCTCTAGCCTTTCTGGATTCTGTGTTGTCACTTTTAAAGCTTGACAAACAGCCACGGCTTGCTCGATCGCCTTGACACCTGGCTTGGCTTGCCAAATGCAGCCGGTCACGTAGCAGGGATGCGTGCAGGTCACACCCTGGGCTGGTGAAAGCGGAAGAAGGTAGAGCGTGCGCCGAAAAGAGCTTGGTTGATGTTGCTCACTGCATCTCTTATCGTTTGGCCTCAACAGCCCAGCAGCTCCGGAGGAGTCCACTGCCAGGCATTCTGAGCGAGTGGAGCGAAGTGGTGATATGGCGCCAATCTTTGTGGGGCCCTTCATGCGGCAAGCCCTGCGGCTTTCACGACCCGAGCATTGCTAAGGGGGGCCCTGCTTGCGCCCATGCTTGGACTGTGTGGTTGGACATTTACAGGTTGGACATTTACAGTATATGGATTGAAGCATACTATTCTTGAACCATACTGTCTTAACATGTTGAACCATATGATCAAGTGTATTACAGTAGTATTGGACTGTCCCAAATACGTGTTCATCATGTTAAGACAGTAAAGATAAGTGACTTTCGGTGTCCAGGACCCCACTCCACTTGTGAGTTGCCAGGTCACACCAAGTATGGCCGCTTTCAGCACGTTTCAGGCGCGGTAAAAGCGCTACTTGTCCAGGTGTAAGGCTGTCAGCTTTTGGCTAGCAGGCACTGCCCCCAAATAGCATCAAAGTCAAAAACAATTGAACATACATGAAAATACCCATCCCACCCACACTCAGCCCATACAAAGATACAACACTTAACTTTGTTTGTCCAATACCACAAGCAAAAAAAACATCCTCCGCTCCTGCTTGTGACCATCTCTCTTCACCACGTACATTTGAGCCTGAGCCTGACCATCCAGCCTACTGGTGTGGGGTGGCAGGTCCTTTGGCAACTGCTGTGGAGCCAACAAAGAAGTTGAGTGAATCTGCAAGACCGCAAGGGCATCATTCATAGCTCCCCGACCAGAAATGGAATATGAGTCATGAGTTGCTCAATAGGTTACTGTAACCGGTTCCTCACACGCTGTCCCGAGTCAACGCTAAACACAGCAACTTGTACAGTAAATACCCTCTCATCTGATGCGATAATGATGTTTCGGATGGCAAAGACATCAAGGACGAAAACATGGATTTGTCAGTCAGCAAAACGAGGTAGTGAAGGTATGGAGTATCGACATATGCGGCATAGAGCTGTTGTTGACGGGATTGGCGGCTGTAGTCAGTGTACTGCTAATGGTTCAAACACAAAAGACTTCTCAGAAACACCATCTAAACATATCTACCAGTACCATCCAAAGGTACCTAAATTTACGTACCTGTTTTTTTCTGCTCGAGATCTTGGATTTCTGATCATTTGGGAATTTGCGCTCGTTTCCAAAAAAAGTGCTCGAGACATGTTAACACCACACTGTATTTAGATAAACCACTCACTGAAGTCCGGTGCACCAATGCATACACCAGCACACACACACACTTTTCCTTCACCATTGACTTCGTCCAAGTCAGCCGGGGCCCAAATGCGAGAAGTACCTTTGGTACTTTAGGAGGCATCGGGACATTGTGCTCCAGGCAATTAGTCGTCCAGCATTCACTCGACGTACGATCCTGGCTGCCCTTCCTACAAAGTCTTCGTCACTCCAGCATCCCCAGCCTTAGGTGTGTTGGCAGGAGTTCTGGTTTGGGTGTTCATACCTCGATCATTGTGACAAGCAACATTGGGGATTGAGAATTTTGCCAACTCTTCCAGAGCTGCGGCAAAGAGAAATCTGAAGCTCCATATTCTTCCTCAACTTCAGCCACTAACGGATGGTACTGGAACACTCAAACAAATCTCCAGAACAGTGTGGAACAGTTTGGCTAAAGTGTCGGGATATGAGCATATAGATGCAGCTTTGGCCTGAGAAGGTACAAGTTCCAATTGCGCTGCGCGCACATGGTTGCCAAACCAGCATACCCTTCCTGAGGTTCAAAGATAAAAACACTTAAACTTCTTGTTGTGATATGAACTACAAGACACTTGGGAGTACAGGTACACTGCATTCAAAAGTCTGCAACATTGAAGCCATATCGGCAGATGACTTCTGCTTTAGCAACCTCGATCCAGACTCCTTCCTTCTGAAGCGTGGAGAAGAACCGATTTGCATTGCGGGTTGTCCATGTCATCAGCTCCAACAGGGTCCGGTCTCCAGGATCCTTGGGGCTGATTGAAATTTTAGGTGAAGCTCAAACAACTCTGTCAGAATAACTAGCTCAAGAACTCTCCAAACAGATGTGAAGACTTGAGCCCTGGTTCTACATCAGTTGGGGCCATTGCATTAAGCTCCCACTCCAGCCATTGGCACATGAGTTTCGTATCATGTGCACGCCCGTGGCCTTGAGGAAATGATTTCGACCTTGGAGGCCACCAGCTGGCAAAGGAAGGGGCAGGGGGCCAGGGAGGTAACAATCACACCCTACCCCTTACAGAACACATCCAGACAAAAAACACTTCAAAAGATACAGATCAAGAGTCGACTGGATTTTGAAGTTCTTTGCCTGAAAGGACGTCAATGACGATGATTTCTTAAATTCTGCACACCAATTGTCAAACCTCTCATACGCTTGGTCCAGTTTGGATTGAAGGCGGGTCCCAGTGAAAATGTTCATCCGGCAAAGGGCTATAAGGGAGCTTGCATAGAGGTCACCACCAAATCCCAAATGAAAGCAGTGCATAGGATCAGGCTTTATAGCCTCTGCAAAAGAAGACCCTGGAATTGACCGAAGGGGGCTATACTTGTCTGGCTTGAATGGTGAAGGAGAAAGCTGAGTCCACATGCGAAGTTCTCCAGCCGGCGACATATTCCACCATTCCTGGGCAATCATACATTCACATGTGCACATGAGCAGGAGAGCCAATCCCCAAAATCACACTATATATAGCTCACACAAAGAATCTAGCTTATGCTAAGCTCAGATGAAGGGACAACTGCTGGGCACAAATGGCACAGCCGAAGCGAACGGAAACCGGACTGGAGATGGTATGCCTTCCTGGCCCACACCCAATCACCCTTTGTACCGGTGAATCCTGCATAGAAGAGATGGGTAGCACCATCAACCTAGGCTTTGTTGCAGATGCATGTCAATTCTCATCCCTCGATACACTGAGCTACCTAAACCTTATTGTAGGCAAAGGGCATCAACTGAAACACCATCCTCAAAAGCAGCACAAAAGTCGTCTGCCAGGGCTTGATGGAGTCCATCAATGCTGGCATCATCTTTGGCGTACCACTGCGAAGGCAAGACGGTGTACAGTAGTCGGGTGGAAAAGGAATGCCTCACACACACAAACAGTTGAGACCCTGTTCATGGCCATTTGGCAATAACCATGCAACAAATATATCACACAATCCACCACAAAGGAATTGAGGGCAAGCTGCACTGAAGCATTCAGGCTTTCCACACCAGTGAAAGGGATCAACACTTGGTAGCTCAAGATCAGAACTGGAGCCCTTGAGAGTCCTCTTCCTTCATCTCCGTGTAGAGCTATTGGTATCGTTCGTTTTCGTCGGCTTGGGTCTTTTTGGTAGATTGGGTGTGAATCATCTACAAGCCGGAAGTTATCCCAAAACTCTTCCAGCATACCCATGTAGGCAGAGCCACCAATATCATGGCCACCCAAAAGGAATCTTGGAGATTTCTGGAGAATGGTTTTCATCCAATTGGTCAACAAAATGACTGGGTACTTCACCACAATCTCGCGGATAGAGCGTTTACGCCTGCCATGCTTTGTTCGCACCTTCTGACGAAGTGGAATTTCAGGAGAACTAATGGATACTGGAAAGGTCTTCCCATCTCGAAAGATATACCTGCGGAAATCCCGGGCTGCATTCTTTCCAGTCTTCCCCGACTTTGTTAGCCGATAGCGGGCTATCTTGTTGATATTGGTGTCAACCACACCTGTCCAGGGTCCCAAAGGTGTTTTGCACAACAATTGAACTTAAATTTGTACAAGCTGTTGGCCCACCCAACCTAGCTTCTTGTTTCTTTTTGCAGTGACCCCAGCCAAACGTAGCACCCCATGCGCCGTGGCAACCTAGGTTCAAGACGAAGTATATATATATCGAAAGCTGTAATAGCTTCATGACATGTTCCAGTTATATAGCTTTAATGATATCCATTTGAGTTTTGCAAGAAAGGCAGCTCCATTCTCCGCATCTTGAAGAAGAGCATCAACCAAGTCATCCGATGATTCATCCCCTGCGACATTCACCACTCCACCTCCACCAGACTGCAGCAACACCAGGCCTGGTTCTACGTGATGATCATCAGCTTCCTCATCGATATCCAGGCCTGCATTGCATCAGCAGCAAATGGAACAAAGGCAGTTCTCACACAGAAAACAAGCACTCCCAAATTGTTGCAACACACCGCAGTGCAAACGGGTGCAAAGCTATAGTGGAAGCACTTTTTGACCTGTACCCCCAGGCTTTTGGCACAAATGTATATGGCAACACATGTGCCAATTGACAAGACCCACGCAGCTGTCATTCCTGACAAACGCGATCCAAAAACTGGAAATGCTGCATCACTTCTTGACCTTTTTGGCCTTTTTCTTAGGTGATGCCTTTGCTTTGTTTTCCTTCCCTTTGGAAGTAGCGCTAGATCCCTTCACACTCGCCGACGAAGATTTGATGTTCCTGGGGCAGTTGGACCAGTATAGCAAATTTGCAATGCAAGAGTGACTTTAAAGTATAGTGCATGGATAATTGCCACATAAACTGAATGCTTTCAAGGTTCTTGCTGCGGGTGATGTAGTTGTTTAAGGTCACATCAGTCTTGGTGCAAGCTGCAAACAGGTTCATGATATTCTTCTTCTTCTCATCCAGACCCCTCGTCAGGGAGGAACAGTCAAAAGTGTTCAACCAATCTTCTTTTCGCTGGTAGACTCATGGAACCAAAAAACAAGACTAGTGGATCAACCAACACAAGACGGACATTGAATTCTGCTGGCCGCCTTGTGTCATCCATGCTGAGGTAATCTGCCTGCTGCTCACTGAGAGCTGTGTACTTGGTGTTCAAAATCTTAACCAGCCCATTGATCTGGTCCGCAATCCTGGGCAAAGGAGACCAATCTTTCTTTGATATTCTATGTATATATAGTGAAACCTTTGAACCTAATTGTTCATGGTATAGTTTCATCTCGAGGTACTCAGTCGCACGGGGAATCTTCAGGCTCCGCAACTTCTCCTCAACACCCAAATGTAACCCTGTAATGACTGCATGCATATACACACATTACCAATACAGTAAATGTATTTTTACAACTTGTCCTGTTGGGCCGTCGCAGAATCTATCTTCTTTCCCAAGCAAGCTATGAAGCTTGGAAGCAAGGTGAATGGTGACTGGTTCTTCTGGAGAGTTGGGAAGACCAGCCCCAACCTAAGATAAAGACCAATGTTTTTATACACCATCAATGAACGTATGAGTCATGAGGTGCCACAACAAACTACAAGCAAGCAGTGTATCCTAGCAGCTTGCCCGACGAGGCAGCAGCAGTGGCCTGCTTGATCAGTGCCTCTTTGTGGTCTGGATCAGAAGAACGAGGCTTGGTCCCGAATTCCTCCTCCGGGTCAAGGTTGGTATCCAGAAGGATCCCATCAGGATCCTGCAGGTTGAGAGAGATGCAAGGCAGGTAGAAAAGCCCTGGCACAGCACCTTCATCAGTATACAAATGAATAGAGTTGGCCAGTCCTCCATTTCAGCATCCCCCATCATACGGTACTCTTCTCCTTTCTCATTCCTACTCGAGAAGCTTTCCTTCAAAACCAGTTTTGCTTCCTCCTCCTTGTGTACTGGATTTCTGCGGACT